ACTTTGAGGTTAGCCTTTCCCTTTTTTTTAGTAGTGAGACAGAGATATGTGTAGCCTGATTTTACCTAGTTCGTGTTAAGTTACCAGATGTTTTCCTTTTCCTTTCTTCTATGCTGATTAACTTAGAAGAGAAGAACGATGATAAAAAAAGTGTCCTACTGGAAAGAAAAGAATGCGAAAATCAAGTCATCGACATAAATTTAATTTGTGCCAATCTGCTATTCAAATATATTTTGTATAGTAATAGATTTCAGTTAATAATATCGCGATCATATCCAAAGTTACAGTAGAAGCTATGCTTTTTTATAGTTCGATTTCGTAGAACAACAGTTTTAAATATAGATTTTTCTTGATATAGAAAACACTGTAAGGTAGAATTTTATCGAAATTATTACGTACGATATAGTTCTTTGTAATTGTGCTTATCTCAAATCGTTAGCTCTTTCTATTCTTGAATTGTTGCAAAAAAAAATTAAGCCATTGTCGTTATGTATCTAGATAGATAGTATCTATTTCGTAATGTTTCAATACATTGATATATCAAATCACAGAAAGGAAAAAGAATCTCACATTATTCCATAGAAGAAAGAAAGAGTGTGCATAACGGGCATGATATCAGCATTGTTTATACTATCTGTATTAACGGCTGTTGTCTATCTGATTGACAGAAGAAAATATGTATCGTACCATTCACAAACATTCATAAGACAATTCAATAGGATATGAGAATGATCTTTTCTTTAGTAATTTTCTGCTGTACTGTTATACAAGTAAATGCTATTTTGGAAAATGTTTTTTGTACATTACCATCATCGGATGAGTTAATAATTCAAAATATTCCAACAACATTTGAATTAAATGTACCTTATACAAGTAAATAAAGATTTTACTAATTAAAATTCAAAGATGAGTTTTATTTTAGTTATTCTATCTTCGAATAATACATCTTTATTATCCTACGTAACACTCGATATCGAATATATTGATACAATTTTAAATATAAATAATGATTCTTTTTGTTTTCCAACAAATGAATCATCTTCATCATATATTTACAAGACAAAATTTATATTAAAATTTGAAAAAAATTCAACAAAAACAAATTGTATTCAATTAAAGTAAAATCTAAATGTGTAATTCAATTAATTCTTTACTCTTCATTTCTTTAGACTACATAGCTATACAAATTCAACAGAAGTGGTAATAGCTAGTCTTTGTACAAATAGTAGTACAGGTTTAAACAATTGTCGAATAGATATATAGTCATAAAAATAAAATTATGTATATTTATATTTAGATAAAATATTTGATAATGATGATAAATATGATGTACAATCTTATATGAGAACAATTAATACTACTGAAATAGCACTTCTAGATAATTTCAAGTACGCAACTATTATTTTTCTATTCATAGTAAATATAACTATCTATTTATTTAGTTGGTTAATTTTTGTACCACATGTACGAGAAATCTGGTATTAAATAATATTTTCAACTATTATAATGAATCTCTTTTTCTCCTTCTCGTTCA